TGGTTATGAAGATATGATCATGAGTTGATTTTCAGAAAATTTCACAAAATGGCGCCTAGATGACGTCATCAGTCAAGGTCAAGGTTGAAAACCTTACCGTGTTTTGTCCATATGCCTATACATATGTGTGCCAAATTTCAAGGCATTTGATTGAACCATTTTCAAGATATCTTGTTAACAAAAAAGTGGGTAGAATTAAGAAAAATAAATAAATAAATAAATAAAGGCGATTTTAACAAAAATATAAGGTGGTCTGTATTAGATACAGCCCACCTGATAATAAAGAAAGGCGATTTTAACAAAAATATAAGGTGGTCTGTATTAGATACAGCCCACCTGATAAAGACGATTTTAACAAAAATATAAGGTGGTCTGTATTAGATACAGCCCACCTGATAAAGACGATTTTAACAAAAATATAAGGTGGTCTGTATTAGATACAGCCCACCTGATAATAATAAATAAATAAAGGCAATTCTAACGAAATTATAAGGTGGTCTGTACGTTATACAGCCCACCTGATAAATGAATAAATAAATAATAATAAAGGCAATTTTAACAAAGATATAAGGTGGTCTGTATTAGATACAGCCCACCTGATAAATAATAAATAAATAAAGGCGATTTTAACAAAAATATAAGGTGGCCTGTATTAGATACAGCCCACCTGATTAGCTCCTGTGGCCAGGAGCAAGGCAAGACCAGCGATTTTATTGCCTTTCATATGCGAGTATCCTTTTTTTTTAATGTCATTAAAAAACAAAAAATATATATTGGAGAGACGAAATCTTTACAAAGAAGACAACTAAGGAATTAAGGAAGAAATCTGCCAAAATAAAGGGGATCCCTCATAAAAAAACTGAACATAATTACGTTTTGCGTACTGAGATCCTTCTCATTCAAACGTTTATTACAAATGGGTTCGTCTTTTATGTTATTTTATTCGACACTTATTCTTCTTCATACTTATCAAACTGTTTATGTATTTTTTATGTACATATATATTTTTAATTGCATTGGATTAATTGAACTTTTATGTATATCATGATGATATTCGTTATAGATAGGTATGATAGGCGCTCCTTTGTTATGAAGTTCATTAATTTTGTATGAAAGCCAACAAAATTGAAACTCATGATTGCAAACGTTTGAATAAATCGGTCAAATAATAAAGCAGTTATGAATGTTTGAAAAATGATATCTCTAAATCTATATGCGAATCTCAAATTGGCAATTGGGTCAATGGACTGTGATGTATTCGTGGACAATTCTTTCGTTGTTGTGTACAAAAATATCAGGATTTTCTGTTTTTCTCCTTAGTGCCTTCTTCCATGGGGCACTCCTACATGTACATACAATGTATTATGGATAGCATATTACATTATATATTTTATATGATATGTATTTTTATTTGTGTTTGAAATAAATTGAATTGAATTAAGTTGAATATATTGTGAGAATCTCAGTTTGAAAAGAAATGACATATTTGCACACCCAATGACGTTAGATTACCAGTCATTCATAAAGGGCATTGACTGGAACGCGGTCCTATACAGAGTGAGTCAGAAAAAATGTCCCACTTTGTACAAGTTGTAATGTTTGAAGTATGAATATTTAATCATGGGTTTCATGAAATTCTTGATAGAGTTATCCTCCTAGTACATTAAGGTACCATTTTCATTTGAATCTCTGCATGCATGACTGAACATCAGACAATCTTTACAAGACTGCCAGATCTTACTTGCGCCAAGTTACCGGGTGAGGAATAAAACAGTGCATTGAACAAAGACAGTCAGACAGACACACACACACACACGCACACACACACGCAAACCCACACGCACACACCGTGACAATTGTTTCATAATTTCCCCTTTTCTGATTAAGCAATGATTTTTATCAAGATCGTTGAATGTTTAAGTGGCATAGCCCTGACAATATTTCCCTTTAGTACAAATTCACTACTACCATCATGTCATCATCATCATCATCATTGTCATCATCTTAATCTTCATCATCATCATCATCATGAAGCACAACATCCGCCAATACGCACCAAGAGGACAGCAGCCACTCAACTTTCCGTACGAGAGGTAGAATTCCCGTCAAAAAGTAACAGTTTGGGTGGGCCTTGTCTGTCTGGCAGTCTGTGTTCAAAACACTATTTTATTCCTCATCTAGCTACTTGGTGCAAGTGAGATCTGGCAGTCTTGTAAAGAATGTCTGATGTTCAGTCATGCATGCAGAGATTCAAATGAAAATGGTACCTAAATGTACTGGGAGGATAACTCTATCAAGAGATATCATGAAATCCACGATCCACGATCTTGATAAAAATCATTGCTTAATCAGAAAAGGGGAAATTATGAAACAATTGTCACGGTGTGTGCGTGTGGGTTTGCGTGTGTGTGTGCGTGTGTGTGTGTGTGTGTCTGTCTGACTGTCTTTGTTCAATGCACTGTTTTATTCCTCAACCGGTAACTTGGCGCAAGTAAGATCTGGCAGTTTTGTAAACATTGTCTGATGTTCAGTCATGCATGCAGACATTCAAATGAAAATGGTACCTAAATGTACTGGGAGGATAACTCTATCAAGAGATATCATGAAAACCACGATTCAATGTTCTTACTTCAAACAATACAACTTTAAAAAGTGGGACATTTTTTTTCTGACTCACTCTGTAGAGCTCTCAATGCTTCATCAGTGAAGGGTTTTATACACAAATAATTTGGCAGAAAGAGAATAAATTGCTGAGATTATTACATGTATCATGCGTGTTTGTATTTGACAACACTGAAAGTGAACGCTAATCAGTATACGCTCTTAGAATTTAATTGCATGTAGGTAGCTGCTGGTTGTTTAGAGAACTACCCGATTCTTGACAATGTTTTTAACAATTCAGCGCCACAGGTTTTGACCATTCTAGAAGCAATTTACTTACAACAGATATATATTTCATACCATGAAACAATACATGTTGGGGTTATATTCTGAAAACTTCTGATTTTCGGAATACTGAATTAAAGGTATAGTTAGGGTATTCAATCCACAGATGATCCTTCAGCAACGACTTTCTCGGATCCAGTACTCCAGTTTGTATAAACAATTTGACATGGACAAACCTAGGTAACTTTAAACAAAAGTTAAGATATCTGAGGATGTTTGAGGTGATTCGAACCATGTGCTAATTACGAACTGGTCTACACATTATTCTACACAGACCGATTTAATTGTTGATGTTTATATGTGACCAAGCCTATCTAACCTTATATCTCAGTCATACCAATGCGACCGATACCATACTGACTACTCATCAAATTAAAATATTCCCCTATTATATTAAACTCTACCCGTATTATCCAAATCCCTTTTTAATTCATGCAAAAACTATTGCCTTTGTGACCCCTTTCCTCTTACTGGAGAATACGCATTTACAATGTATTATAATTTCTAAACCCTGTTCAATATATCCCGATTTGATCTGAAATTAAAGAAAGAACCTTGAATTCTAAATGTAAATCAATCAACACAAGAACACCTATACTGTGAAAAGTACCAATAACAACTTCAATCCCACATTAAACTCAATATGTTTCTTGCAAAATAATACCCACAGATTTATCCTTGCACTCAGAAAATATCTGGGATAGAAAAGAAAAGGAAAGAAAAGAACAAGAAAGGATAGATTGTTAAAATTCATCACTATAACAATAATACATTCCGAAAACTTGTCTTTGGAGGACAGTGACATAACAATCACGAACCATAATATTGTCTGCTGAATGGAACAAAAAAATAAAGGTGATGTTTAAGTAGTTGCAGTCCCCAGAAAAAGATCCATAAAGAAAATAGAAGTGAACCTTATTCTTGTAATACGTACTACAACAAATCAAATACAAAGACATCCACGTGCACCCAGACCAGAGCAGAGCACCGATTACATTATCCACAGAGGCCAACAATAAGTCAGTTTGAACTCGTTGGGGCCGGTACGAAGCCGGTGTGCCAGTGTGACTGGGGTATTAATCATACCTCCAAACCGACTTCAAATCGACCGATTCTTATAGCGATTCGGGGCAATGTTATAGTGTGTCCGGTCTTTAGTCGGTCTGGCATCTTCTGTTAGTTGAACCACACATGAATCAAAATTTGTCTTTTTTATTTTTAGAACTCATTCTCAAGATATAGGATGATTGTCCATTTTTTTTTACTAGTAAAAGAAAATTCTGAGAATGTATTCAATATGAGAATTATGAGAAAGTAATATATTTTGAGCAAAGTGCATAATATATGTACATGGAGAAAGACGAATGACTAGCACTTTGTTAGCATCTCATAATGCTTATTATTGATGGAGATATACTGACAAATTTGGTTTATATTCTGCCACTTCTAGATCAATGAAGCGAGTACTCTACATCAGCAGGTTACAGAATTACACATGTAGAGTTTCAAAGAAAAGCGATGGTTGAGATTGTATTCATTTATTTTCCTCTGTCCTTTTCATCTTTCTCTCTTTTTCCTGTTTTCTCTCATATTTCTTAGTATTCGATATGTTTGAGTGTGTGTGTTTGTGTGCGTGGGGAAGGGGGAATCAACCTAGCACTGGTTATGAATGAGGCGTAATGAAATATTGATCCGCCATGTTCTTTTTGTTTCGCGCAAAATTAATCTGAAACCAGGTATAGTTCAGGCCCAAATAAATACAGAGGAATGGCAAGGCAATGCGACTGTATTGTCGCAATACGCAGTACAGTAATGTAGGCAGACTTCTACAGCCGAATACGGATCTGAATGCAAAGTCCAATTTATGTAATGCTTTCATATAATCACGCTTGAGTATTCCTTCAGAATAGACCAAATATCATCGGTATAACAGGGTACGGGCTAATTTACACAGTAGTTCAATGTCACATTACAATAAGAAACATGGTGTTTGGAGAGCACGGTGATATATTATCATCAAGAGAAAAACGTTGTGGGTGTGAATTGCGTTAAACATGGCGCTGTTTTCAGCAGCAGCAAAAGGAGACTTCCTGAAGATACAATCATTAATCGACTCGGAGGACAAGTCAGAGGATTCGGGAGGAGTTGATGTAAACTGCTCGGATGCGTCAGGCAAGACGGCCCTCCACATTGCTTCGGAAAATGGACATTTGAAAACGGTTAAATGCCTTACCAATCTTGGAGCAAACGTGAATGTAATCGATGCTAACCTACAGACATCGGTTCACTTATGCTCAAAGATAGGCCATCTTCATGTGGTAGAGCTGTTAATGAACGAAGGAGCAGATATTGAAATTGGTGACAAAGATGGGTTTACAGCTCTTCACATAGCATCATTCGAGGGTCATTTTGACATTGTCAAATACCTCGTTGAGAAAGGGGCACAGCTAGACAAATGTGACAAAACCGACAGGACACCCTTGTCTTGTGCTTCTCAAGAAGGCCATCTTGAAGTCGTCGAGTATTTCGTGAGCAAAGGAGCAGGCATTGAAATTGGTGATAATTATGGGGTTACAGCTCTTCATAAAGCATTATTCAATGGTCATCTTGATATTGCCGAATACCTTGTTAGGAAAGGGGCACAGCTTGACAAATGTGACAAGAAAGGCAGGACACCCTTGTCGTGGGCTTCTCAAAAAGGCCACATTGAAGTCGTCGAGTATATCGTGAACAAAGAAGCAGACATTGAAATTGGTGATAAAGATGGGGTTGCAGCTCTTCATAAAGCATCATTCAATGGTCATCTTGATGTTGTCAAATACCTTGGTAGAAAAGGGGCACAGCTTGACAAATGTGACAAAAACGACAGGACACCCTTGTATTGGGCTTCCGCAGAAGGCCATCTTGAAGTCGTCGAGTTTCTTGTGAACGAAGGAGCAGGCATTGAAATTGGTGATAAATATGGGGTTACAGCTCTCCACAGAGCATCATTCAAGGGTCATCTTGATATTGTTAAATACCTTGTTATGAAAGGGGCACAGCTTGACAAATGTGACAAAAGCGAAAGGACACCGTTGTTTTGTGCTTCTCAAGAAGGCCACCTTGAAGTTGTCGAGTATATCGTGAACGAAGGAGCAGGCATTGAAATTGGTGATAAAGATGGGGTTACAGCTCTTCAAAGAGCATCATTCAATGGTCATCTTGATATTGTCAAATACCTTGGTAGGAAAGGGGCACAGCTTGACAAATGTGACAACAAAGACAGGACACCCTTGTATTGGGCTTCAGCAGAAGGCCATCATGAAGTCGTCGAGTTTCTTGTGAACGAAGGAGCAGGCATTGAAATTTGTGATAAAGATGGGGTTACAGCTCTTCACAAAGCATCCTTTAAGGGACATCTTGATATTGTCAAATATCTTGGTAGGAAAGGGGCACAGCTTGACAAATGTGACAAAAACGACAGGACACCCTTGTATTGGGCTTCCGCAGAAGGCCATCTTGAAGTCGTCGAGTGTCTTGTGAACGAAGGAGCAGGCATTAAAATTGGTGATAAATATGGGGTTACAGCTCTCCACAGAGTATCATTCCAGGGTCATCTTGATGTTGTCAAATACCTTGTTATGAAAGGGGCACAGCTTGACAAACGTGACAAAAACGACAGGACACCCTTGTTTTGTGCTTCTCAAGAAGGCCATCTTGACGTCGTCGAGTATATCGTTAACAAAGGAGCAGGTATCGAAATTGGTGATAAAGATGGGATAACAGCTCTTCACATAGCTTCACTCAAGGGTCATCTTGATATTGTCAAATACCTTGTTAGGAAAGGTGCAGACCCGGGGAAACTTGCTAATGAAGAGGACCACCATGACTACCTTCGCAGTACTTTTCGTGGTAAGGCTTTCCCTGGCTTCATGCCCCCATACTCCCGAACATACGATCCATATCGTACCAGTCCACAAGACATTTCTCGCTTCATGAGGAAGAGCAACACAAAAGAGACAATGAATATTAGTCTGGACGAGTGCAGCATCAAGGTTCCAATTTCACCAGACGATGTGGACAGAGCCAAATATATCACAGCAGAAGCATTGACAACCGTTCCACATGACTTAAACCTGGAAAAAGACGAAGTTATCATCTCAGTTGGGCTCAAGCTATCCCCTCCTGGTCTTCAGTTTAAAACTCCGGTGGAAGTCACGGTCTTGCATAGCGCTATTTTCACCAACCCAGACAAGGCAGAAATTGTGCTATACACCCGAAGAACTGGTAAGATCTTCCTTTTACCATATATCCCATATGTCCATATAAATTCCTTTCTCTTGTTGTGACAGTGCAGAGAGCCCCTGACTGCCACGACGAACCCATCACAATTATGACAGAGATCTTCACACAAAATTAATCCTTTCCTCCTATTCTTGGTATCATATGACCTCACTTCAAGGTTGATATTCCTTTCAGAATGATCGTATTCACTGAGTTTTACTTGATAAACTTCTATTAGAATAGAAATTCACTTAATTTTTTTTCTTCAGTCTTTGTGTTTGAATAACTTATTAGTTGCACAGTTCATACAGCCGCCATTTTCCACATTCTTGTGGAAAGATCGTAGGGAATTGTAGGAATTAAACAAACAAAGATTAAGCATGATCTTAAACATGAAATTGTTTGTGAATAACCAAACGCCAAATAGCAGTTGACATCTTTTAATGACGTTGCTCATAAATAAACAATGACCTTCCAACAAAGCTTCCCAGTCAATCTGCAAACCTTACCTAAAGAAATACTTTCCTTTCTTTGTTATACTAAATCCCTTAGCGTTGACAGTTTACTGCGTAACAAAATTAACACGGTCCCCTCTTTCTATGTGTGTCTTTTTGATAGTGTCTGATGAATTTTCAAGGATAGTTCCTGCTTCTGACAAAGCTGCCCGGTTTGTAGTCGCAAAGAATCACCTTACTCTGTACCTGGACCATTTCTCGGAATGGTGGATTATCTCCTTAATCAAGAGATACTTCATCGGTAAACGGCTCATCTGTACGCCATACGTTCCTCTGTCAACATACAGAGACGTGTTGAACCGCATCTATCTCGTCATTCAAGACGACTTCTACGGCATGAAAGAGGTAGTTTTATTGGTTATTCATTTTCAGACTTTGTCCAATCGATTTCATAATTTTGCATCTAATTTCGTCAAAGTCAAATCAAGTTCGTCATCTTTTGCTGCCAACGTACCATGCAATTTTGCCCTTTTGCAACCGATTTCGTCAAAGCGTCATCCAAATACACCCCTCGTTCGTTATAAGGACTTGTTTTTGCGACGAATATGAATGAAATTCTCTTGAAATCGATTGCACAAAGACGAATTTGGACCGCATGATGAGACGAATTCGAATGAAATCTGACGGAAATAAATGGACAACCGTTGATATTGATTGACTATTCACTAACTTGGATGACAGTATTTCTAGATTGAATTTGACATTCGTACGAATCCGAATTCCTAGGGTAAAATTAAAGTGCACGAAAATGAATTTGAATTAAATAAATGTTAAAATGAATAGGAAATCCTATAGTAAGTCAATGGAACTTACACTGTATTTTTGTTTGTTTAGCAAACACTGAAATTGGAACAAAAAGTTTTTAGACCATATTTATTGAGATGACTGTCAATTCAATTCAAACCAGATACCCGTTTAACATCTTGGAGTAGATGATCATGTAGAGACCCATAAAAGATTAATTGCCTGTTTTGTGGAGGTGTCGTGGTATAGTCGTTCATTCAATTGAATCCAAGGGTTAAGGGTTCGAATGCTATAGCCCGGCGCTAACGTTCTTTGGCAAGACATTAATCCATATTTTACACGAAAGTGTAACCGAGTACCGGATAATTGCTGGAGTATATTGCAGTGCCATCTGAAAGAACAGCTTTATTTCTAAGTTTGTTCTCGTTATTTGTTGCAATTATTATTATCATTTTCATTATCATCCTGTCAATGTTGATTCTTCTGTTCAAACTTTTGCAGGATACCATACGAGACTACAAAGTAGCCTTTCCCGGTGAGCAGTACTGTGTATATTGGGGAAAGGGACCCCTTTTTGTCAGACATCAGGAAAACGAAGACGAGGTGTCAAACAAGGTAAGAAATGATTTTGTTGTTTCCCCCGAAGGAAATTATCCTGACAAACGATCGCCATTCTGCATGGCCTAATATATATTTTTCTACATTATCAAAAAACAGGGGCTAGAACTTTCTTAAAGCGACACTGAACTGATGAAATTTCGGCCTTAGCGTACTGTTCATTGCGCATCGCTATCTCACGGTCTATTTGCCAACGGTGTGTAGTCCAATACCTTAAAGCCTATCTGCACTAGTTTGGCCAGGATTGATTAGACCTCCCTGCATGGTCACTGACAGGTGGTTATCTCCTCAAATCAGCTCTCATTTAACATAAGAAAAAGGGGACCATGGGGGACCAACTGTCACCGATTAGGCATTGTTTGCTATACAGAGGGCGCAAGTAGCTATAAGTAGTGTAGTGGGGCTATACTGATACGCTTAATTGATGGTTATCTCTGATTTTCTTAGGAACTTGAAGAATGTGCTTTCTTTGACATGACGACCCATCGGATGCCGTTCATTCTTCAGCGACGTGAAAAAATAGTATCCGGAGTTCTCGTCACTTTCATCTTGAAGCAAAAAATCACGAAGGAAATCGGCTTTACAGTATGGTACACAGGTAATATCAATGAATTCCTTTTTGGGGGAGGGGGTGGCTTTAAAACTCTCACTGGCAGTGCTGGCAGAGAAAATAGTATTCTTCTGCAGTTTCAGGAATGATTATATGCCTGAGCTTCGAACAAGCTGTAACATATCTTCACAATAAACCCAAACAAACTCCAATGACATTATTTCTTTCATTTGAGATAATTTGTAATGACTTGTGTACTGAAAAAGACGCGAGTTTACACGAATTTTGTTACGCATTTTTATTGAAACTGAACGAAATGCTCCCCAAAACAAAAAATTAACCCTTTACCAGTTTTGTCGATCCTGGCACTATTTTTTCATGTGAACAGATTCTACACCGCTGGTACCAGTGAATTTCACCCCACATCATTGGAAGTATGCTAGTGCGTTTATACTGGTCCAACCTGTAGGTATATATATAATATATATGTATAATGTACAATTTGTTTCCGTGCAATGCTAAATATTTCATTTAGGGTAGCAAAAGAACCATGGCAAGTTACTCCTATTTCGAAAAAAGTATCATTTTAGGCTAATCGCTTCTCATCACTTTGATATCATGTATTCACAATTTAGATGTCCCCGACGAGAATCCAGTTACCCAATCAACTCCGAAAGGATCTGCATCGTCCAAAGGCAAAGCTGAACCAAATGATGTTGGACGGGGAACATCCAAATGTAAGATTAAAAGAAAATGTATTAGTACTATTTTTTCCTTTTATTTGTTTTGTTTGTTTCATACATAAATTTCGATATGCAGGGCATCGTTTTACGAAAGCGTCATGAGTACAAATGGGAAATGTGTGTAGAAAAATTAACACGCTTTTCAATGGGATACCGGCGAGCTTGTTACATGAAACAATGTCCTTATTTTCAGATGATTTGAACAAAATCGAAATAATAACATCGTAAGGAGACACACAAAAGCTTTTAATCTTGCGATTTACTCTCGTGATTGCGAGATGAATTTTATTTGTGCTATTCTGATTTGATTTTGATTGATTTTTGCTTTATCAGCATCTCAGCTCTCCGAAGAGCTGACAAGAAGCGAGCATCATGATCTTGAAGCGATAGGTTCAACATCACGTGAGCCTGCAGGCACAAAGGGTAAGACTATGGCCTATCAGGAGCGGTTCTGGAGGAATACCTATGAATATCTTCTTCTTTTTTTGGGGGGGGGGGAGGGAGGGGGCAGGAGGGAGTAGCAGGAGGTGGAGTCTTCTAGCATTATGTGCTTCTTTTGGGGGAAGGGGGGAGGGGCATTAGAACCGCTTCTGCGAGCCCATATTCTTGAAATTAGTTTTTGTTTTAGATATTATTTAATGTTCAATCAATGTATTTTTATACCGTATAATTTTTACTCTGTAAATTGAACCATTTTATCTTTTTGCTACATGTTCCATGATTTTATCTCAATCATTTCAATAACCCAACCTAATACAATTTAATCCAAGGGCCGACTTGGGATAAATAACAGATCAGTCAGAGTTCTTTACAACACAGGGCGAAGTCTGGTTTTAAAAAAAATTTTAAAGCTTTTTTTACGTTGCTTTTTTTAGATGAAAGTAGTTCTACTGAAGTCCTTACAAGGCCTAGGCCATTAACTCCATCATCGATAGAGTCACCGTCATGTGAACATGACTACCAAGTCACACGTGAATTGGTAACAGAGACAGAGACAGTTGGTAAGGAGCTGAAAGATAAAGTCATGTTCTGGGCTCCGTAACAACACAAATGTCAATTGTACCTCCAAAAAATTAAGTTTATCTCCTCGATCAATCGTAAATTTAAGGTGACATTTGATGTTATGTTACAGATAGTAACGAACAAACACCCTTTTGACAAAACATCAATCTATATATGCTACACTTGTCCGATGTGTAAAAGTAGGTAGGATACCTGAAATGGTTACTGGAACTTGAACGGGTTAATAATATATTAAGTACTTTGCAAGCACATATAATTGTGATATACGCTTATTTCCTTTACACGCTCTTATAAAGTATCCATAGTACCTCCTACGCTACAGCATGAGCTGCGTTGTCGGTTGAACAGAGAAAGCCCAGTTTTTGATGACTGGAGGGGTCTTGCCAATCAGCTGGGACTTGGAGACTACATACAAACACTGGGGCAGTGCAAAAACCCGACTGAAGAACTACTCGTTCTTGCTGAGAGTCAAAAGAAGATTCAGAACCTTGGGGACCTGGCTAAGGCGTTCGAACGCATGAATCGTGGGGATTGTCAAGAGCTATGTGAGGACTATGCGTTTGAGAGAACAATGTCGGCTGATCTTTGGAAGGATCAAATGGAAGATGATGACACAGAAACCAGTGATTAGAAAACAGACTTAATCTGTTCCATATCACCCTTTAATCCAGGGTCTATGGCTCGTTATTTGGACAACCTATCAAAACAGCACTTTATGGTTGTTGTAGTCCGCCACTTATAATTCAGCTATCTGTCATTTGGTTTAAAAACACAACAATTGGATTTGCTCGAAGAATAATAAAGGTATACTTTAAGGTCGTATTCCCCTGATTTATTTAAGCCATATTCAGGGTATAAAATTCATGTTTAAAAGAAAACTTAGAATGACAGACCTATTTCCTTTTTGAACCTGCTTTTATGGACAAAAGTCTGAATCCAGCGC